ACGAGGTGACTTATCTAGTCACACTACTAGCCTACCTGCTAGTCCCGTTACACAGATGAAGCAACTGAGGTTTGGAGAAGTCAAATTACTTTCTCAAAGCCATATACCACCTAGCAAGAAGCTATGAAAAGGAAGTCTATCTCACTTTCACATGCCAGATCTTAACCACCGTGCTCTTTTGCCCCTCCACGCCTAGAAATAGAGAGCAGAATCCCACGTCCCCCACCCACTCCCAACACGCTCACCCTTTGCCAGCCTATCTGCTATTCCCCAGGTTCTTTCCAGCCTGCACGGAGCCATTCTCCACTGTGACTCCCTTTTTCCATTTCACCCTTCGCTGGATCATTTTATGCCTCTATTCCCTCTGCTAATTCAAACTAATTAAAGTATAAAATAGAATAATTGCTTCCATCCCCATACTCTTTTCTCATCCACCCTGAGGACGACGGAGTGGTGTTCCCTTTCTGGGAGTGGCCAGCCTGACAAGTTGGGTGGAAACTAGGGCCATTCGGTTTCTTTTCATCTTGTTGCTTGGTTTTTAACTTGGCCCGTAGCCTGATTTTCCCTGGACTCTCTGTCTGACTTCCATGAGACACTGAGGACAGGGGTGCAACTTGGAGTCATGCTGTAACATCTGTTGACTCACTGTTGAGTCTGGGGCGGGCTTTCCAGAGAAGAGCCAGGCATCTTCACGGTGGAGCACCTGGGCAAATAGCAGCAGGATTGGGGAATCAGTTCCCAAACTTCCCCCTGGGACTGGCCAGCCGCAGATCTATTAACAGTACATTAACATTGACTTGTTAGGAAGTGGCACTAACGACCCAACACTTCCTACTAGTCCTATTTCTTAATTACATTTAGTTAATTGAGAGAGAGAGAGAGAGAGAGAGAGAGAGAGAGAGAGAGAGAGAGAAGTCAGAACAAGTGTTATATTGGTATTAGATTGTTAACTTTGTGGGTAGATTAGAACCCCTTTTGCAGAATGTGAGACCAGGGACTACACTGTACTCTTACCTGGTCTCAAGGATAGGACAGATGTCGTGTTTTGGAGAAGGGGTGAGTACAGAGAGATAAGTAAGTGCCGTGGATAGGGTGGAAGGAAGGGATGAGATTAGGCTACCCAGAGATTTGTTATAAAATGAAGTTTCTGGAAGCCCCATTCCCTTGATGTCACACAAGATCTTAGGACTTTTAGAGAACCCCCCAAATCTTAAATTTTTACCTGCTATGGTTTAGATATGGTTTGAGTGTATCCCCCAGATGTTCATGTGTAGAAACTTTAAGAGGTGGGACCTAGTGGCATATACATTGATCATTGAGGGTGCTTTCCTCAGAAGAAATTGATGTAGCTCTCACAGGATCCAGGTTATTTCTTGCAACAGAGTTGTTATAAAAAAGCAAGCCTGGCCCCTCCCAACCTTCTTTGGCTTCTTGTCTGGTCATGTGAGCTCATCCTTTTGCATACACTCTTGTTGTAATATCATCTGCCATGATGTGATTGCAGTCAGGGAGACCCTTGCCAGAGCCTGGGCTATACTGTTTCGACGTTCAGCTTCCAAAGCCATAACTGAATAAACCTCTTCACTTTCTAAGTTACTCAGACTCTGTTATTTTGTTATGCTAATGGAAAAAGGACTAATACACTGCCTCAGCGCAGGAATACACTTATTCATAAGCAAACCAGCCTTCCTACTCTCTGTAATGTTCATTGTTTAGGGAAGAAGCTCATGAAAACACGCATGACCTCACAGACCTCTTTTTCAGCAAGTTCTTTTGTTCTAACTTTAAGCTTATTAGTGGTGATTTTGATGTCACCTGCAAAAAGAGAAGTCCCAATACCAGGACCTTCAATGAACTCTTCAAGAATTAAAAGGACATCTGAGTCAGGTTTTTCATCTCCATCTTTAAATGTGGTGAATCCAAGTCCCTGAGAAGATAAAAGCCCAGGTCACCTGGGGAACTAGAGGCAGGGCCTGTTATCTGGGTCACAAACCACTTAGCTTCCTAATCATCACATATAGTATCTATTCTCCTAAGTAATGAAATCAGAATGCAAGAGGTGGAAGAAGCCACACAGAATCTTAATGACCAGTGGAGTCATAGTCTGCATGGAGACAGAGTAAGAAGAACTTCCCTAGCTGTTGTCTCAACTGAGTCTCACCCTGACCTTGTGTGACACAGAGATTAAGTGGCTTGTCTAAGGCCTCTCTGCTATAGAATAGCCAGAATCGGAACTGTGGACTTCAGAGGCAATCCTGTTATCTGATGTAACTCCTCTAACTCAAAAAGGAGGAAACGGAAGCCGTGAGTCATGCTACTGGTTATTGCAAAAGCTGAACTAGAATCCAGGACATCTGACTTCATTTTTACTGACCGTTCTCCAACCATACATTAAACTGCCTCCTGAAGAGGTCCTGGCTGTCTGTGAAGACTCTGTGCTCAGCCGGCCTCAGACAGATGGGCCTCCTGAGCTGCCCTTGGCCCTCCTCCCTGGACTCAGCCCCCCCCCGGTGAAGTCACCTGGCTACCTATTTCTACACGATTTATGGCTGTCCAAGTGACAGGCTTCAGAGCTCCACCACAAATCCCCCTTAGACTTGGCCTCCTGATTGCAGCTCCACCTGGTACAGAGAGCTCCCCTATTAATATCTCACTTGGCCAGAGACAGCCCCATGGCATTAAACCCACATTCTTCCTCTATCTGCTCCTTGGCTCATTGCAACTGGCTACTACTCAGCCTATTTGGTGCAGATTGGAACAAGAACAGGACACCTGAAGCAGAGGATGAAGACAAAGGAGAGGATATTTACAGAGAAACTGTATTTTGACCAGGAGGCATGCTCTCGGACGTGGCATCACACATGAACTCAAGATCATTCTATATCCTCAAGCCTTCTTGTCAGCCTCTAGCCCTGACCCAGCGCCTCTTCTTTGGTTCTATTTTGAATGCATTTTCAAAAGCATCCCATTTGACAAAGGACATGCAGCCAAAATGTGCCTTGGCGCTTTTTCAGTTTCCACTAAGGTTTTGTTGGTCACTTCCATTTGCTGCTTCTGCTTTTTCACTACATTGGACTCAAAAAAAAAAAAAAAAAAAAAAAAAAAAAAAAAAAAAAAACCAAGAGAGAGCTCTCACCCAGAGCTTCCTGCCTGGTCTTGAGCCATACAGCGTGTCTCTCAAAAAATATCATGCATAGTATGGGTTTATTCCTCTTCTTTAGCCACCTATGTAGGTTGCCATCTATCCACCAGCCTTCTACGTATTCCTGTGAAAGTGTCTCAGGATCCTGTTAACGTGATGTTAATTTTGGATGGTGGACTTGAGACTGTTGTCTATAGGTAATGCTTGAACTGGTATTGAACAGGTAAGCATCTACTATTTTTATTTTAAAAATAACGTTCAGTCTTAAAGGTGAAGAAGAATAGGAAGAGAACACAGAGCATCCATAGAACTCAATCTGACGTCATAGATACCCGGGGTACCTGTCTCTCTCCCTCATTAGATGGTAGCAACTTCAGGGCAGAGATCAAGTCCCACTCCTTTTCATGTTTTCCCAGTATTTTGTCTCCAATAAATATGTGCCCAGTCATGGTTTTCTCTTAGGCCCATTGCCTGTTTTATTGGGATGATAGGCTGGTGTTTATTTCCAAGACTCTCTCACCCACTCTAGGTTAGGCAAAGCGTCCTCCAACTCCTCCCAGTTCCCATCTGGACCTGTTTATGCCTCCATTGCGGGGGCCACATGAAAGAAGGTAAAAAAGACAGGTGGGTTCAAGAGGCTCTGGATGTAATTTGCATGCAATTAGCATATGATTTGTGTCATCTATTCTCAAGAAGTAATTTTCAAGTTAGAACTGCATCACTGCGTCCCTTAATGCTGTCATGTGCCTGCTGGCCCCTTTCTTACTTTTTCTGCTTATCCCCCATCCCCTGATTCAGATCCCTTACATTCAAAAACAAAGGAGGGAAAGACAACTCGGAGAAGGGGGAAGCTGATCAAGGACACTGGAATCCTGGCAGAATATTCTGAATGACATACGAGCTGGGAGGCACCTTGTGAAAGTGGCTGGTCCTCTAGTCCCAGCACAATTCTCCAGCCTCTGTCAGTATCCTCAGCTGCTGAGACAGACTCATAATCCTTTTTAATCCTTCTTTGACCTTTATCTGACTTCTCCTTTTCAGGAAAATGATAAAGACCATCGCTGCAGCTCAACAACTGTTAACCCACTGACCAAGTGAATGGAATGAAGCAGTCTTGGTGAAAACTAGGTGTTCGCTGGGTTTTCTGGATCTGCAGGGATCTGATGAATCTCCTGTCTTCCCTGCTTCTTTTCTTCACCACACCTCCCCCTGCATTACCCTTCTCTGGGCTGCCACACATTCAGAGTGAGTACAATCTGGGGGAGTAATCCTCCTCCTCCCCATCCTTGAGGGTGAGGAACTTGCTCAGTTGCTACCTCGCAGAGGGTAGAAGTCTGTTTCGTAGGATTCCCCATCTCTGCAGGCATAGTTTCAGCTTCCCAGAGCTGACCAGTTTCTACCCTGCACCAGTTTAAGACTCATGCCAAGATTTTATCTCCTTCTGGGGCCCTATCTTGGTTCTGTCTCTCTTAGGAGCAGGCCCAGCCCGGAGGCCTGGATTATTTACACCTCTTTGGCTCCCTTGAGCAGCAGACTCTGTGGGCCCGAGAGCAGTAAATCTACCTCCTAATCACACCAAGCTGCTCCATGCAGTCTGGCCTGTTCTTGCGGGGCTGTTCATCACTGGCTGAGACAGGGGCTGTGGCCTAGAGAGAAGCCTCCGGGAAGCGGCTGGCCCCGGCTTGCTTCCCTGTGGCTCCCTGCAAAAACCTACAGGGAATCTGCCTCTTCCGGGACCCTGGTGCAGCAAGAGCAGAGGTCTCCCTTATTAGATGGAACAGCTTCTGAACTAAGGTGACAGATCATCAACAGTTTCCTGGAGTCTGGAAAGAATATATGGATTGGCAGCAACACTTACCTGTCTCTCAGACATGACATATAGGTAGCGCTGATCAATGGAGAAGGCCATGTCCCGAAGGATGGGGCTCCCATCTTTGAGCACAGAGACCATCTCATACTGGACCCCACCATGGGGGGGACCATCAGCTCGAATCTGCAAGAGAAACAAGGGTATCCTTAGCATGTATACACTCTGCCTTCCCTGTTGGCTACCTGCTTCTACCTAGAAGAAGTAGCTTTCAAAAAACCATTGCTACCCCTCCCAATTGCTACTCTGTAGCCAGAAACACCACTTACTTCAAACATCCCAGTCTCCATACAGAGAATACTTTCCTAAGCCATCTGAGTGCACTGGCTGGGATTTCTGATGGTGGATTTATTTTTGTGTGCACATAGGCCCTCCGGAATAATTCTGACTATCTATATGTGGTTATTCTTGTGTACGTTACAGATATTTAAAGCTGTATGTGATATATGAATATGCAAGTTAGCACGAGCTTGGGCACACTTATTTGTGGATGGAAAGGGAGAATCAACATCTATACACAGTATCCTTACCTCAGGCAGATATAGGGAAATGMTGGGCAATTATACAAACCACCAAAAAGTGGTCATCAAGAGATTCCAGATTTTTGGACATTATGATGTCTTTCTTTCCCCAGATATAGGTTCTGACTGTCTGCAAGTCCACCCCGTGGGATGTGGTAATCTAGGAATCCTGGCTCTTTCTGTCCAAGTGCATCCCAGGACAATAAGTCAGAAAGGACTTGGTTGTCATTTAGTCCAGGGTTTCTCAGCCCTGGCTGCACATYTGTATCATCTGGGGAGTTTTTAAAAATATGAATGCCAGGGCCAGATGCATTAATCAGAATCTCTGTGGGTGGGGCCTGGGCATCTTCATTGGGTTTAAAATCTCTCAAGATGAATTTAATGAGAAGCCAGGGTCAAGAAGCAGTGATAAAATCCAATATTCTCCAATCAGAGTGGCCTCAGAATTGCCTGCAGGGCTTGGTAAGATGTGTGGCTGAGCCCACCCCAAGAATTTCAGATTGGGGCGGGGGATGAGCTCCATGGGCATGCATTTCTAACCCATTCTCAGGTGCTGCTGCTTCTGCTGGTACAGAAATATGAGAAGTACTAATTCAGGCTGAGCTCCATATGCAAAATACTGAAGCTCAAAAGAGAGAGGTCCCTAAAGTCATGCAAAAAGTTGGCGGCATGGGCTGGGGTTGTAGCTCAGTGGTGGAGTGCCTGCCTAGCACGTGTGAGGCACTAGGTTTGATTCTCAGCACCACATATAAATAAATAAATAAATAAATGGTCCATTAACTACTAAAAAAAAAAAAAAATGGTGGCAAGAAGTTCTTGGTTAGATCTGCTCCATCCCCAGTCTCTTTTCCCAGAGTAGGAGCTGACTCTTGACCAGTGTTCTCTCCCCCCAGCTCATTTCCTTTGTCTTCTGCCCACCTAGATACCCTGGAGCCCAGGCCCCACCTCTTCTAGGAAGCCTTCCCAGCCTCTCTAATGGCTTATTAATGACATTTAGACTGATGCTTTTTTTTCTACCAGACATCCTGTCCTAGGATTATAATCAATCGATTTGTTCATTGTATGTGTACTAGCTAACATGTATTGACCATCTATTTGAATTGTTTTCTAATTGCTTCCCATGTGCATAAGTCCTGCCAAAGTTTTGAAGATAGGAATATGTTTTCTATTTCTCTTGCAACTCTCTGAGGACCTGCATAGGCTGGGGGACATAGCTGGTGATGGATTAAAGGGAATACTTGAGACATGTGTGTTGAAAGGAACTTAGATGGTGAACCAACTGATGGAGTATCCTGGATTTTTTTTATTGCTAAATTAAAGTTAGGCCAAACACATTTTCCTTGGAAAATCTGAAGAATACATCTTCTCCTTTCTTATACTCTGTGCGTTCTCAGGGCACGATCTGCACTGCTGGGTTGGGCTGGATTGGGGTGAGTGGGGAGCAGACCATGAGTCCCTAGTGGGGTGGAAAGCTCTGGCTCTGGAGTTCTCAGTGCTAGACAGAGCAGATTCCTGCATGAGGGCCCTTGGCCTAGATTCCAGGGATGGGTACAGTGGCTTAGTGTCAAGGCATAGAGTGAGGGGTACCATGTTTTCTTCCTCACCTGCTTTGGTGGGTGACTGGGGGGCTCTGGATTGAAGTAGAGGAGGAAACCTCACCTTGTGGGTTGGACTCTACCTTCTCCTAAGCTTCATCCTTATCCTTTTACTACCTCACAGGGGGCTTCCAGCATTCAAAGATTCTGCCTTGACAACTATCACTGAAGCCCCTCCTTCCAGGGTTGGGGGCACGAGGGTAGGTAGAGGGCAACTCCAAGAGTCAGCTACGATGTTATGGGGTTGGGGCGTCTATTCTCAATCCCAGAGCAATTATGATTATGAGAGTTAAGCAGAAGGAAGAACAGAGTCTCTATTTGGGGAAAACTTTCCATGATTAAAATGCTTCCCCTTATCATTCAAAGCAGGGTTCTCCTTTGGATGGACAGGGCCAGCTTTCTATGAAGTCCTTGCAGAAATGTGGTAGCACTGACTCACAAAAGTTCTTGATTACTGTAAGAGGTAGAGGGAAGATGTGTTGGCCATGGCTTCTGGTTGACTTGGCCTTAGTTTTCTGTCTTCTACAACCTGGGGAATTTAGGGTCTGCTTCTTGCATGACTCTGAACCCTACCTTGCCTCTGAAGGAGAAACCCTCCCTTGACAGCTGCTCCTCTACAGGGAGATTTAGGTCTCCTTAAGCTGGTTTGGCTCAGGAGTTGTAGAAGCAGCCCTCTGGGCCCAGGCCTGGCCCAGGACCTCCTCCTTAGGAGGCTGGTTGACCCACTGCCAGCTGGAGCAGTCACCTTCTCCATGAGCCTGGGCACTGGCTTGGATCCCCAGAAGGTCTGACACAAAGTCAGAAGGAAGAACAAATGCCACGGGTCTGGCCCTCCCTCAGTGGTCCCTGGGACTAGATGGTACTGTGGCCAGACTGGAGCCGGAGCTGACCCAGCCACCACCCTGACACACGCTGCTGCTGTCTGTTGGGACCAATCCCAATCATTCACTTCTTACTGAATCAGAGACCTCATCAGAATCTTTTTTTAAATATTTTTTTTTAGTTGTCCATGAACTTTATTCATTTACACATGGTGTTGAGAATTGAACCCAGTGCCTCACACATGCTAGGCAAGCACTCTATCACTGAGACACAACCCCAGCCCCTAACCAGAAGCTTTTAAAAACTTCCTGTCTGCAACCTCAATCTTTTAATAAACCAGTGAAGCCAGAATCAAATCTACATAGGTCTGAAACGTGAGCACTAAAACCAAATCAGAACAGAAAATGTTGTTGGTCCTGAACTTGAACTAAGCTCTCTTATTCTATTCAGTCTTCATCCTTGGAAAGAAAGGCAGTCCTGGCCAAGAAGTCTGTGCTTCCCTGGGCATCCTCCTACTCCCTGCTACCTGCTGTAGCTTGAATAGCCCTTTAAGACACCTATAGGAAGTCAGAGAAAATGGAGACTGGGGGCCAGAGGGCCAGGGGTTAAGGAGAATGAGGTGGGCCAGGACAGTGGGCAGAAGGCAGGCAGACAACTGGGCAGCAGAGATCTTTCTCTTCACTGGATACCTTCTGCTCCCTCTGGGTCACACATTAGCATGGGGAGAATATAGTTCTGGGACTCAGGCATCCTGGGATTCAATTCTGACTCTCTTCTTGCCTGGGCATGGCACACTTTTAGGAGAATTACCTCCCTGAGCCTCAGTTTTCYTCTCAGACGGGCTTAGCACCTGTTCCAGAAGGATCACTGACATCGCTGCCAGATGGCAAGGGCTTTGCAGCTCATAGCCTAAGCTTTTCTATTAGAGGCCCCCACCAGGGTTGGAGCCAGTCAGTGCTATTCAGAGAAAGCACACAACAATGGAGAGATTAGCCCCAGAGAGATTAGGGAAGTTTTTAGGTCAAAATTGTCTCTCCTTGCCAGACACAGGGTGCCTAGTGGCGARGAACTATCAGGGAGTCATGAAACAAAAGCGAGATTTGGAAAGCCAATTAGTTGGGTTTATTGTGTGGTGCCCCACCAAGTCACAGTTCTCTTCAGCGTTTAAGCTTGCATCCTTGGGGCCAGGTTTCAAGGACCACAAGGACAGCCATAAATGGAAATAGGCCACAAATCCAGTCTGAGGGCATGCATTATCAGGTCAAGTTGCACAGGTCTTAATATCCAACCAGGCAGTGGAGGGCCAGAGATGGGGCAGAGAAGGAGGTGGTACCGACAGGTGGAACCAGCCACCTGAGCATGCTTTTCTAGTTGGGTTCTTCATGTCCTGGGAGGAATTGACCTCAGTGGACATGCAGAAACCATGGGGCCTTTGTGCTTGGCCAAGATTGAGAAGAGCAGAACCACAGGGGGCATAGTCGACTACAGAAGAGGGGACAGTCTTTACTGAGACCTACAGAAGACAAWTTGTGCCTAAACTTTTGCACAAGGACATTTAGATGAGCTTGAATAAGAATTCCTGCTCTGAAGACACCTGACTGTAGAATGGATGACCACAGAAGTCTGTGATCATCTTAGGAGGAGTTTTTAACACAGGACAAACCCTTTTGCTGTATAGTTCAACTTGGTCCTGCCTAAGGCAGTAGGTTAGACTTGGTAAATTTTTAAAGGTCCCTGTTCGCCCAATGAATTTATTAATAGCTGCCACTTATATAGCTTTTATGACATGCTGGGCACTTTTGAAAGTTGATAATAAAAATTAGCTCATTTAGTCCTTAAGGGTACCCCTGATGTAAATAATATTATCATTCTTCTTCGACAGATAAGAAATCTGAGGCCAGGAGAGGCAACTTTCCTGAGGTTATACAGCTAAAGAGTGGCAGAACCAAGCTTTGTACATAGCCCAAATTCTCGACACTGTATAACTCTCCCAAGACACGGTAGTAAGCATTTCTCTATTCTCTGTAGCTGAGCAGAATGGAAGGGTAGCTTAGAAGTCCAAGTTCTCCCCTTCGTTCCCCCACAGTCAAGGAGGGACAACCACCCTTTTTTTTTTTCCTGGGGTGCAACAGCAAACTCAGAACCTAATTTAGGAGGGCTTTACTTGAGATCTAAAACTCAGTTTAAC